ACAGAAAATGGTCATTGGTTACCTATTCTACCTCCATCCCCTACATTCTCCCATCCCTGCAGGGTAAGAGCGCATTCGTTTAACCAAAGGATGAGCATGTTCCTGTCTGTACACATCTCCAGAGCTTCCTTTGGGTGCTCTTTATCTTGACTAGGAGAACAACAAAGCAGCTACAAACAGTCTTCCTGCTGCTGCTAGCCCAGTTTCGCCTCAGTATGCATCTAGCTTCAGAACAAGGTGCTGTCTCTCTCAGCATGAGCAAACAAAAATCCATCTTACAGTCTAGGCAGGAGTCAAGCAGGGAATACAAACTTGTCCCACTTCAAAGCACCAGGCATATCTTTCACTGACTAAACAGCAATTCCAGCAAGAGTGACAATGAACCTTTCTTCCCTATTATTGTTGGAAACAATCACCAGCTATTTTGTTCATATTAATTAGTTTATATCTAGTAATAGGCAGCCTTGATTAGAAAAATGCTCTTTGTTACCAAATGAATAGAGTACCAAACAAAACCAAAAGCTTTTTTTTTAAATTGTTGTTTTTGTCTTAGGAAAGGATTGTCAGGCCTTTCACACTTGAATGTGGGTTTATCTTTGCACAGGTCCCTGAATTCACTCTAAAAGAATGCAAGTTGATGTGCCAGACAATACTGGGTGAAGCTGATTGAGTGAACAGCTTATTACGCCTTGCCTAAGGAGATGCTGTATTTAAATTACTTTTACCTTGTCTGAACCTGGGGAAAACTTGATAATAGGAGAGACTACAATGAATACAGGCTTGGGGGCAAGGGCAAATCAGCCTCGGATTAAAATCTGACTGCACAAATTACATGTGAAGAGTTGACATATAATCAAGATGCTCATCATGGGCGAGAGGATCCTGGGAACCAAGTGACCCAATGAGCTGCATCTCTCCGGAAGGGTAAGCTGCCTCTCTCTGTGACCTAACGCCCCAGCTTACAGCCGACTCCTTCCGAGAGGGCTTGAGTTCCCCCAACTATCAGAAGCTACTACTGCTCCCAACACATGGTGAGAATCATGGGACTCACTTCTCTGGTTGAGATTCTTTAATTAATTGCTTCAACACAGTTGTTAATAGTCAAGGTCTGAACCCAGCTCTAAGACACACGAGCTACACAGGCTTGTTTGAGGTTAATGTTAAATACCTTCATTTGGCTTCTGAGACCCTGCAAAACCTTCTCCAACTTTGTAACCTAAAACATCTACCTTTTCTACAACCTTAAATATGCCGATAAGTATTTAACAATGGGTGCTCAGGAATGAGGGCCTGTGTTTGCCAATTTCTGTGGTGTAAATACTCCACCCTGGCTGATTTCAGGCTATAAGCATGAAGTCAACTGGCTCACGAAATTCCTTTTAAAGTTGAACAATCAGATCTTGTAAAGGGGCAGAGCTGGCTCTAGACATCACTGCTCACAACCTCATACCCCAGTCTACGGCAACCACCCCTGAACTCACATGCAAATGCTGTGAGCTCTCACCTTGGGACGCCTGACATTCCACACGGGCTGTCTCCTCTCCCTTACCAGAATAACTCATCCTCATTCACAAGCTCCCAGCCTGGCAGTCTTCCTTCGAGAAGCCCCTCCCCTGATTCTACACGTCTTTTCTGGTGTTCCACTTTATCCACAGAGCACCCATTCTTCCTGTATCATAGCATTTGTGACACAGCATTCTAATTTTTTGTTTCCCTATCTGTGTATTTCCCACTACATTTATAAACTCTGACAGGGCAAAAGCCTTCTTTATCTTATTTATTCTTGCATCCCTAGGCCTGCCACAGTGCTTGCTGAACAATACTGAGATGTATTGAGCAATATGTCAGATACTGTTCTAAGCTCTACACACATGATCTCATTTCAACCCTAAAACCACCCTATGAAGTTGGCTTTTTCATGATGATGCTCATTTTGCAGATGAGGAAACCAAGGCACTGAGAGAGTGGATACCTTTTCTCCTCTCCCCCAACAGGCTCAGTTACGAAATACTGGAGCCAGGATTTGAACCTAGGCAATGTGACTGAAGAGCCTTGTGTATACTTCTAGACCAGTGTTTCTTAACTTTTTTTTTCTATTGGTGACGCTCAAGGAGGAAATTTTAATTAAATTCAAACTCTCCCTAAGGAGAAATTAAGGAATAGGATTTCATCAGGCAAGGTTAAGCTCTGGAGGGATTTTTCATCTCCCAAGATCCAATTTTTGCCCTCTTGGGGACAATCTCTTTCCCGTTGGCAATGTGTGTTACAGACTTTTCACTATACACATTTACATTAATGTACCATATGTTTATCCCTAAAAACATATGGTTTTGTTTCACAGTTTTAATGATATCTTCCTGTAAGTATCATTCTGCATCTTGCTTTCTTTTCCCTCCACGAGATATCTTGAGGAGACAGAGCTGTGCTGAGATAGGTATCCATCATTTAACTGCAGTACTAAAATCATATCAACGTGACCAACTTGATTAAGTCCTTCTACTATTGAATATTAGAAAGTTTTGTACTTCTTGGCCTTCAACGAATGCGTCAATGAATATCTTCCTGCACATCTCCTTGGACTCACATGTTTCTAACATAGGTACCAAGATGGGAACAGGGCATGTGCAAAGGTCTATAATTTTAACAGATGCTGTCAAATTACTTTCCAGAGTGACTGGACCAATTTACTTTCCCACAGAGACTTTACAAGAGTATATATTTCCCCAAGTGTTTATACTAAATATGACCTCTTTCTACCTAGGGCAGTGCTAAACGTTTTCATTAAATGAGTCATTTAAAAATATTTATATTACTCACCGGCTGATAGTAGCTTGTGTAAGAGGGAAGATGTGTAGATAAGATGATGCTGTTGGAAATGCTGACAAAAGAGAGCAGTGAGACTGGGATGCTGAAACGCCCTGTCCAGAAAACCTGTACTAGGGCCTAACTCACTCCACAAAAGGCTAAGAATAGTCATTGCAAGGGAACAGGTGCAGTGGACTTTGAAATGGTGACCTCAGGTAACAGGCAGTAAATCTTTTTACCCATTTACCATGTCTCTCTTGGGCACCAAGAACACTACTGAGGGGAATGGAAACCAAACACCCAAAGTAAATGAGGTGTTGAAAAGACAATGATCCATTTAGCAGAAAACAGAAATACACATGATGGTGATAACACTAAACATCCTGGAAAATGATACTACAAACTTTATAATGTTAAGGAACAGCAACGACTATCCATGTGATAAAAGTCCAAGGTCTTTCAGAGAAGAAGAAAAGCATTTATAGTAAATAAAGTGGAAATGCTCCTTTCTTTCTCCCTCTCCTTCCTTTCCCTCCGTCCCCTTCTTTACACACACACACACACACACGCCTACCTGAAATATATACAACAAGGACCTACTGTATAGCACAGGGAACTCTACTCAATATTTTGTAATAACCTATAAGGGAAAAGAATCTGAAAAAATATATATATACACACAGACATGCTCTCTCTCTATATATGTATAACTGAACCACTTTGTTGTACACCTGAAGCTAACATAACACTGTAAATCAACTGTACTTAAAAAAAAAACAAAAAAATTTAAAAAAAAACCAATAAAACCCCACCCAGCATAAAAATACATAGGTCTGTTTCTTCAGATCTTCATTTCCTTATGAAGGCTCCCATATCATATAAAACTTGTATTCAATTAAAAAAAAGAAATATATACAAAATTTAGCCTGCAAAATGATACAAAGAAAAAAAAGTATGGAACAATATTTTGTATCATAATGATTCAAATTCCAATCAATATGGCTTTTTCTCAAAGGTGTACTTTTTTCTTCAACCTTGACCTAGAAGTGATTCTCATGAATGCGATCAGAGGTCACAGTCCAAAAGGAAGAGACGAAGATAAAGGAAGAGCAAGTGGGAAACCACACTTTTTGAGTACTACATGCTCTGCATAGCTTCTCTCCTTTAATCCCCATAACCATGCTGTGAAAGATGATTACATGAGAAGAAATGGAAGCTGTGGGAGGTTAGCATGACTAAGGCACCTTATCCAGCAATTGAGATGTGAGCACAGGCCTAATGACTCCAAAGTCTGTTTCCCCACTATACCATGCTGCCTGCTGAAACTGAAAGAGTCCAGTTAATACTTGAATAGATCAGACTGTAAAACAGTGAGAACAATGTTCTTGCCATGTGACTGTTCTTCACTGGACAGAAAAAGTAACTCATATTACTGTGGTTCAGAAGTTTCTGGAATTGCATTTTCTTCTCAAAGTTACTAGAACAGGTCAAGACAAAATAATCATCATTATAGGAGGAGGACATCAAGACAACATTCAGAAAACTTGTTGTAAGATTAGATCTGTTCTGGACTTCCCTGGTGGCTCAGTGGTTAAGAATCCGCCTGCCAATGCAGGGGACATGGGTTCCATCCCTGGTCTGGGAAGATCCCACATGCTGTGGAGCAACTAAGCCCTGTGCACCACAACTCTAGAGCCCACGAGCCACAACTACCGAGCCCGCGTGCCGCAACTACCGAGCCCGCGTGCCGCAACTACTGAAGCCCACACGTCTAGAGCATGTGCTCCGCAACAAGAGAAGTCACCGCAATGAGAAGCCCACGCACTGCAAGGAAGACTAGCCCCCACTCGCCGCAACTAGAGAACGCCCGCGCACAGCAATGAAGACCCAACGCAGCCAAAAAAAAAAAAAAAAGATTAGATCTGTTCCAAAATAAACCCTAAAAAAGCCAACAGCAGGATTTACTACTGACTGTCTTGATTTGGAGTTTGATGCCTACGGTAACAGCCAGACACCCTAGGCACCGAAAACCATAAGCACCTCCCTCACAAAAATACTCTTCAAAAAAATCCCCACCAAATGACACTTCAAAGGAGACACATGATCTCCAAAGTCAAACACACTTTCTGAAATTCAGTTGAAATACTCAACAAAACTATGATTAGCCCAAAGCTATGCAGGTTTGAATCACATACCTGGGGCTGTGAAATGACAGGGGTGGACGTAGAGGCAGCAGCCATGGCAGCTCTGGAGTTGTGGGCGGTGACCAGGCCCCAGCACTAAGGCACCCCACGCGGGAGTCAGATTCTCGTGGTTGCTGATCAGATCACGGTCATGCTAGGAGCAACTGTGTACCTGGAAAAGGATAGGAAAACCCACCGTCAGCCTCAGAGGACTAGCATATGCGAGTGAAGTACCTTTGGCCACGGGAAGTGAAAAATCCCCTATACCAAATGCCAACTACCAGCTTAATGAAAAGAGGAACCCGGGAGGGAGCATGTAACATCTCACGGGAGGACTTCTGTACCACTCAACCAAATCAGTTGATGTATTTTCATAAGTCTGAATCCAACTTGGTATGATAGCTAGATGTTTTGGGCAGGTGATTTCAAGTTGTGAAGATAGGGAGAGTGGGCAGAGGGAAGAGCCGTCCTGCCATTAAATAACAAAGGAATTTGGTGACTCACAATTAAGAGCTGACAGTTTATAGACAAAGGGCAAAAAGAATAACAGTATCAAGTGTCTTAGAGATACCCAGTTCAACCCTGCCCATTAGCAGATGAAAAACCCTGTGGGTTGGAGAAGAGAGATGACTGGAACCTTACTCTTCATTAATGGCAGAACCAGCCCTAGAGCAGCAAGCAAGTCCCAGTCCCAGATGAGACATAAGTGAATGTGTTCCATGTTTACATTTCTTTAGGGAACTTGTTACCACTTTCAGGATTAAAGAAAGGCAAGATGCCCCAAAGTTATAGACATGAGTCGGTCACAAGAAAAAGTAAAGTACTTGGATTGGGGGAGGGGGAAGCTTTGTAAATCAGACTTCCACATGTATGAGGAAGAGTACATTTCTCAGTTCCTCTCGATACCCTCAGAGAGAGGATGCTAGACCTATGTGATAATTTCCACATTGCAATTTAGTCCAGAAGGGGACATTTTTCCAGGTTAAGAATTTAAGAAAATACATTCATTTTAAGAAAAATTTTCATTTTTAGGTTGTTTTCATACCGTCTTACAATATTCTTTCTTTTATTCAAAAGATATTTATGGAGCATCTACAGTGAACTAAGGGCACAATGAATAGAATTGAGGCTGCCCCTGCCTGCAGGGAGCTTTGTCTGTAAATATACTTTCCGGTTTCAGCAGCGTGCAAGATAACACTGGAATACTTTCAAACTATGGGCAAATGATACTCTTCATAATAGTAAAAGTTATGAACCAGGATCACAAGATCCAAGTCTTGAGCAGTTAAGTAATGGCAGAGTTGGATATTTAACCCAAGTCTTTGCCAAATCCTCTGGCACTATTTTCTATTAGCTGGATTATGCTGAGCAAGTCACATAACCTCAGAAGAACTGTTTCCTAAGAAACAATCAAGGTTTGGCAGCAACTTACATTCTGATTTTTGAACCTTACATTCTGATTTTTATCCTGTCTCTGTGTATTATCCTTCATACTGTAGTTTTAATCACTTTAGGTGTTAGTTGTTTAGAACTGTGGCACCTTCCTATTTTCTTCCTCTACCTTTCTGTTAGAGTGACTTTTTTTTTTTTTTTTTGCGGTACGTGGGCCTCTCACTGCTGTGGCCTCTCCCGTTGCGGAGCACAGGCTCTGTACGCGCAGGCTCGGCGGCCATGGGTCACGGGACCAGCCGCTCCGCGGCATGTGGGATCTTCCTGGACCGGGGCACGAACCCGTGTCCCCTGCATCGGCAGGCGGACTCTCAACCACTGTGCCACCAGGGAAGCCCTAGAGTGACTATTTTTATTAATAGATAAGAAGTAAAGCTGTCAAGCCACATTTTGGTCTAACATTCCACACAAAATTCCATAGCTGCCCTAAGACAACAGTGATGCTCTCCTCAGTCCCAGTTTTAGAGGGAAAAATACCTGCTGTTTATCACACTGTGATTTTAAGTAACAGCCCAGGAGAAAGGCACACATCCACAGAGTGTATTTCCTCTTTCATGAGGGGTGCCAGAGAGCCGAGCCTACCCTGGGAAAATTACAGGGCCCTATGGTGCACTCTTTCATACTGAACTTACTTCTGGTAACATTTTGTGCCACCCCTACTTTTGTATTTTTCCTTTTTCCTTCTCACATATTGACAATTCACATCTTCTTGCTCTATTATATGTGGAGTGGACAGATGAATATATAAATATGTTATATAATATATAAATATATAAACAATGATAACCAAAAAGCAAAACAAGCAGGCAAGTGAGATTCTATTCTAAAAGACTCACGCTCTGTGTGCTGGCCCAATATCACTTCTGCCGAGCTAAATCATTAAGCGATAAAACCATAAAATATTTTCAATGATCAGAGTACACAGAGTTGCCCAAAAGGTGAATGCTGGGCACCCAGCCTGCAGTCGGGAAAGGGATATCGAAATGGATGTGACAAATATGCCATATGGCATCACTGCTGACAGCAAAAGGAGGAGGGGCAGGAGACTGAGATTTAATGAACACCTACTAGATGCTGAGCACTGGGACAATCCTTTCACATACAGTTTAAGGCAGATATTGTTAACTCATTTCATAGATGAGAAACCCAATGCATTGTTCCCAGTCATGTGGTCAGGAAATGATGGAGCAGAGACCTGAACCAGGACCCACCCCAGGGCCTTTCCATAGATGAACCCTCCAAGTGTACAAAAATTAACAGTGAGAAAGTGCTTGGAGTTTTTTAAAGCAAAAATTTCATAAAGTCCTTCAGGAAGCAGGATGCAAGTCAGACGTTCTGCAGAGTAACTATTTCCCCAAACCCTGAAACAGAGCACCCTGGGCTGCTCTCATCCATATAAAACTTTCATGATGTGCCCCTAGTTTTGATTTATGTGACACATGCCTGAGCTACATAGTAGATAGTACAGATTGTTAGTTTCATATTTTGAAGAAGAACATTAACTGTCTTCCCCTGAAGCATCTAAGACATATCGAGTTTTGATGCTTTTGTTAAACCTTTTTTTTTTCAGACGAAGAGATCTTTATTTCTGAGATAACAGTGTATAACACTAGAAGATTCATCAAAGTGTATGTTGAACCTATTCTTATATTATAAGAGCCTTTTGTAAGATGGGATATGGTTACTTAACTCTTAAAATATAAGAGCTAAGCAATACTACCTCAAAGGGTATAAAATAGCTCTCTCAGGGAGCAATGTCTTAAAATTACATTTATGAAACCTATTTACTTCCCAGCCTATTTACAAAACTGTACAAATCATGGGGGAAGAGATGTGATGACAAAAAAGACAATATCCTAAATAATGATGTCATTAAGTCTCTGGCCAAGTAAGCTGGATTACTTTGACATCTTGTGTCCTGCTTTCCCAGAGCCCCAGACTGCTAACTACAGAATTGCACGGAACTTTTAAAGAAATTCATCCCTCTTTGAACTCTTCCAAGTATTTAGATACCTGACCTGCAATTCTTATAGCCTGCCCTCACCGTAACTCTCTACTTCATTTGCTTGAGCTCCAGGTACAGGAAACCATAACGCAGTGTGAGTCAGCTCCATTAACCGCACGTGCCCTTGGCCATCACTATTGCCCATTCTCTTCTTCCCTAGTTGTCTCCATTTTCCATTCTAGGCATGCCTTCTAATGTATATCATTCTTGTCAAAACCGCAAAACTACATCTAATGCCACTCACTTGCAAAATATGAGTTTTGTCACCTGTTGACTTGCCCATTCATCCATTTTACAGTCTTTGGGTATGAATTACCTCAAAATCCCTCCCTATAGTTCGAAATGTATATATATATATATACACACACATAAAATAGGTAACCAACAAGGGCCTACTGTAGAGCACAGGGAACTCTACTCAATATTTTGTAATAACCCATAAGGGAAAAGAATCTGAAAGAAATAGATATGCATGTATATATAACTGAATCACTTTGTTGTATACCTGAAACTAACACAACATTGTAAATCAACTATACTTCAATTTAAAAAAATAATATTTTTAAAAATGGACAGATAAATACCATTTACAAGTGAGAAAGCTACATAGGCTCATGGTTCTGTGCTAGATTAACGGAAAATAACCAATTGAATATAAGAAAAGGAAATAGCCTGAATCAACCCTAGAAGCCACAGATGGATCCCAGCTATTGCTTAAACTTCCAGAAATATACTGGAAAGAATCAATATGGAAGGTTGGAGAACATTTAAGGCTCAACATTCCCTTCATGTGAAACTGTAATTAGGTGGACAGAAAGTAAGTAAATGAGACCCCAACAGACTCACAATGATGCTCCCTGTTCAGAGGGATGACGGCTGGAGTGAACTAAGCCAGGGAGCGTTGGAGTACATTTAAAATACACTCAGCTCCTTAAAAGGGGTTCATGGCTCCAACTGAGCAAGTAATCTCTGGCTGTATTTACTTCTAATTTACATGTGGCCATAATGACTGGCCCAGAAAATATGTGGGAGAAAAGCACTACCAGCTGGCTTTCTGATATGGGCAGCCATGCCAAGTGACAATGATCTTGCTAATTACTGAGTGCCACACCAAATACCTTAAAAAAAAGTCTCTGGTTCTGAGGCAAATGTTCCCTTTGATTACTTCTGGAGCCGATGCTGGCTCTTTTCCTAGGCCTCATAGGCAGATGAATTTCTAACCGGCAAATTTATCTACTATAAAGCTAACCTTTTTCCTTCATCTGGGCTTGAGTCAAACAGTGACTCATTTCAGTCTCTAGAAAGAATGCAGGGTAATACCTGATACTGAATATGCACAGACTTCATTCTCTAAGGATAAGAGACAGAAAAATCCAAATCCACCAGGCAAATGAAAAATATTATGGGGCTCAAGAGAAGGAAGACTATAGAATCAGAGCAAATATTTACTTAAGAAATAGGTACACTACATAAAAGAGAACTTTAGAAAAACATGAGATAAGAAATGAGTCGGCATTAACAAAAAAGTTATGAATTATGAACTTGAATGAAGGCAGTCGATCAAGTAGAAAACAATAAAAAAGCAGAAAATGGTATTACTGAAGCAGAAGATAAACCAGAGCTTTGGGTGGGGCCTACAGGACTAAAGATTTCAAAGCTTCCATTCTCAAAACAGAACAGATGAACACAAAGTACTAAAGGAGGAAAACAGTCATCAA